TGTGTTGCGGGGAAGAGGGGTTTCCGCATGTCAAAAGTATACAACATTTCTTATGCATATCACTCCGGCTACGCCGTCCACAGTATTTTTGCGCAGAACCCACGTCGAAATATGCAAAAAAGTGCATAGTGCAAACTGAGTTTATTAATAAGCTAGTGGTAGAAAATTTAAAACATTTATCTTAAAAAAATGTGAATCCTTTGATTACACGTGTATGTTAAAGTTTATGGGTTCGGGCTATGCGTTTGGACACAACAACAGAAAATCGTTGTACAAATAACGAAGCCGGACCCAAGTTTCTCGATAAGGGGCAACAAAGATTCTTATTTGCTTGTTTATATAAAACAGTGGATAAAAATATACGTATATGCGAAAGGCAAATTTATCTGTTTAAATGAACACCACCAATATTTCTCGCAAACACACATTTATTAAATCTTTTATTTCGCCTCCGACACAGAATTGTTTTCGTACAAAATTACGCAAAGAAGCTTACTCGTTCGTTTTTGGGCATGTCATTGTTACGAATTTCGAAAGTTCGAAACTACGATTCGGATTGCAGCATACTATTTCTACGATTCGTAGCAAAATCCGAATACGAAAGAGTTGCAGAATAGGGGTGTTAATTGAAGGCACATTTGGAAAATACGTCGAAACGATCTAAATACACTGTGAGACAAATGGTAGGGGTCAGTGATCGGGAAGGGTTCAAACTACCGGGGAAAGTTATATCGGTAAAAAAGAAGTTATACGTGTCCCGGCGTTTCGCTGGGTCACGTCTAGGAATCGAGATATATCGATTTGAAGTTAGTAACTATCATATAGGGGAAATTGTCACCTTTGGTGGTCTTTTTTTTGACATAACTCGAGAACCACTAGTCCGATTTTGCTCAAACAAATTTAAAAAAATTAAAAATTACAATTCCTTTAATCTGTTCATATAACGTTTTTCTATATAATCAACAGTTTTGCCGGTAAAAATAAATTAGGCAAAAATAATTGTTTTTTTTTTCAAACAGTGGTTCTCGAGTTATGTCAAAAAAAAGACCACCAAAGGTGACAATTTCCCCTATATATATATACTAGCTTATACCCGCGGGTTTCACCCCGCGCTTTTATACAAATGGGAAAAATAATTTAATGATGTTAGATATTATTTCTGTGCCCATTTTGTTATAGCTCGTTATTTTTTAAGTGAGTTAAGGTATTGTGACGGATACTGCGGCAACGCGAAGCGAACAACGAGAAATAGGCAGAATGTTCGAGGAATGACGTAGAATGTTCCACAAAGAGAAACGTCAAGTTGGATGAACACTGCGAACAGCGAGAGAAAGAGAATGAGCGATAAACTTCAGAATATTCTAGAGTTGCCATAAGTGCCAGCGCAGGTATATAAGGGCGCCGCC